CTTGTAGCTTCGGTAATTCATCGCCCATATCCTCATCGCCGCTCTGAATTCGGCACCGGACCTTATCCAGCGATCTCTATCCCGTTTCGTTTTCACATTTCGCACAAACATCGATGTCGTTCTGAAGATCGCTCGCGTTTCTCAACAGCCTGCACGTTGTGTCTTCCTAATTCCTCGTGGTGTCACGTGAATATTCCATGGCTCAAGAACCTATGCTCACCACGTGTTGTGATTTGTGTTATAAGTGACGGATTAGAAAGTATTCTGTTGTTCTCGTCTTTTACGAACACACCCACTTTTGCAACAGTTTTGATCGATTTCATGTTCTGGTCTACCCGACTTATCCATATTGGATCGTTCGTCGCATCCTTGTCTCCACCGTCGAAATCTCATACTAGTTATTTCAACTCTTTTAATTTTTCTTCATGTTTTTATGAATTGTAACTCAGATGAGCATATCAAGATATCGTCGCATCATTTGCACCTTTGTTGTGATCTATAGCACAAAAGGCGACGATATATTCACCTGGTAGTGTTGTGCTTTGATAGGGCTTTCTCACTTTGTGGCGCTTGGTGACACGAATTGTTCGACTCCGTCGTCGAGTCAATTTACTAACGACACCACATTCATCGTACAAATTGTCGCTACTCGTACAAATCAATTTTGCCTTGACCGACCAAAAATAATTGTGTTTAATTGTTCATTTTTTGGCTCAGAATTTCCTAGTTGACTCCGTTGGTAAGGATATACACCATGAAATCAAGACGTTTCTTTTCTCTTCCTTTCATTCAAAATAAATTTGATTTCCAACTGTTTTGTTTTCATGAGTCGTTCTCCATGTGACATAATGTGGGATTTTTGTTGGGATTTGCCTAGAACATGAGCGATTCGCTCACGTCATCGCAATCTGGTACAGACCGTTAAATTGTCGTAAAGTGTTTACGGTATTAACGCGAATCTTTGTCACATTAAGAACTGAGCGCTGTTTTAATGATTGTTCATTCTTTGTTATGACTATCTCAAAGAAGATGTGCAAGATGTGCATTACGCGGTTATAAATCGGAGATTTAGTCCACTGAAATCGCTTATAGAAAAGTAGAATACGATATGGAACGACTTGTGTTCCGATGGACACGTTTGCTTGATACTGTTTCTATTTGTGTCCTCGATATTGTGCAGATTAGCTAAGAGGTGTGGTGATGATCCATCAATTTGCATTATCGAACGTACCGATTGGCTGCTGTTGTTGCTGCAAGATGTTGCGATGTTGCCGTGCTGAAAGAGGAGACAGTGAACACAGCAGAGTAATCAGAGAAACAATGTCAGACTTGTCGTTGACTTTTTCCTTCCTTGTTTGCTTAGTCGATTTAGTCGTGAATTGCATAGAAATCTGTGTCGAATATTACTACATAGGATATCGGAGCGAGCTAAATTTGGAACGAGTTCCTTTTCTACATGTTCTTCTATGCAGTTTTCTGGTCCAAGACGTAGAAAAGTAAATTATCCATTATTTTCAATAATAATGCTGGTAGTAAAAATGTCAACTGTTCCGGAATCAATAATTGTTTATGCTGTCCTAATTATATGCTTGCTGTAATTCGAGTGTTCTACAGTGCTCCAAGCCATATTCGAGCATGGACGGATTATTTATTCAACTCGGCTTAACGGAAGCGATACATGGATTGCTGGCATGGCTGCCCTCCGGCTATCGCTCATCCGTCACACTTCCATATTTGAAAACAACACTGCTGACGAGCGCTGAGTTTGTGTATACGCAACTGCTGGAAGTAAAATGGACAACTTTCATCCACCAACTAACTTTCGTATGCTAGGACGTTCATTATATTAACCTTGACCGCTTCAAAAACAAAAACAACAGCATGCAGAATTTCCGACTTATTCTTGTTAGTACTTCTCGTTTTTTGAGGGTCGCAAACTTCTGTTTCTAAAATAATGTTCTGTTGAAAATCGCTGTAATTCACAAATGACTGAAAGTTGACGATAGTGTAGTGGTGACGGTGCTTTCACCACGTGACACTTCCGCATTTGCTGTTCAAACTGTTCATTCGTGTTAATGTTTCTATCTCTGTTTCTGAGTTTCATTTTCATTTCTCTCTCAATGTCTCCAACAAGAAGAACACACGACACGAAAGCAGTGTTTTCTCTATGACATCATCACAATCAAATGTTGCTTGCAAGGGCCAAAATTTTACGTCAAAATATCGATAAGGAAGAAAAGATCGAACACGTCTTCTCCATGTGATGCTGGTATATTTCCCTCATATTTTTATGCTTATTTCATCTGTACTACACATTATCATGAGCATTATCACTGAAATTGTGTGTTGATTTGTTGATCGAATAGAGAGCTAATTATGTTTTCTTGCTCTTCCTTCTTTTTCTAATATTGGAGTTTATTTAATTAGCCTTGTATGTATGTGATTCAGTAACTGAAACAAAGTAGTAATGAGTGATGTAAAAGAGGTGCATGAGACATAGTGGTCAGAGATGCCGTGCACTGTAAACATGGCTCCTTCGACCAGTGGTGGAGACTTGGGAACACTGTAAGACAGCTGCCACAGGATTTATCGAACAAACTACTTCATCAGCATTTAACGACATTCATGAAAAAGGCAAGGTCCTCAAAAGGAAATAACCCAAATAACACACAAGGTTGAAGGCATTCGTGGATGAGGGATGCGAAACTACGAGCCGAATGCACAGAGTATGCGAAGTTGGGTTATGTAAATAGGAGTGAACGTGGAAAAGTAATTAAATTATTGAAAACTCTACTTCTGTGAAGGAGCTTCGGATAAATGTGATCGAATCCTTCATGTAGTTCAATATCTTAAACAATTACGTTCTTATTTGTTAAGATGCTTATATAAGGGTATTTTTCGTAGTGCTAACCATTATTCTATTGCTGATTGACGTCGTTTGTTATTCTGTGCGGATTGTCACGTTCCAATGTGCTAACTGTAGAGCGTCTCCTAATAGTCAATAATACTTTATTATTTTAGCCCTTAGATCATGCCTCTGAGGAAAACAGATTCCAGCTAGAACTATCTTTTTGATAAAAACATTAAAGGCGGATTAGATGTGATGGTGAAATTCGCAGTTGTCCGTATCCTCTTTCTTTCGTCATCGTCAAGTTTTGTTTTTACCACTTTGGATCGATGGTACCCACCAATATTACGTATTAATTTTGTCTTGGACGATTTGCTTCAATGCAGAAAGCTACTCTCTCATTACTAAATCCATCTCATGATTCAATATATAAGCCGAAAAAGAATGGACCTATACCGGAAGTTCTCGCATTTCTTTCTTTGTGAAATCAATTTAGTAATGCAGTTTTAAGGATACAAGTCCTCCCTACTACAATTGAGATAGTTTGTAGGTGGCTCTTCATTGTTTCTAAAAATCGGGATTAAGACAGGTTTTGTAAAATGAGAAATCTTAATTAGTAAAATCGAACTTGGCGTTATTCGTCGAATTGTTTCGATTTTCTGTGCTGTTCTAGTTTACTGACTTTATTTTTACTGCAAACGCTCTTAATAACACTCTCTACTAAGTTTTTGTATGCATGTGTGTTTGATTAGAGACATTCTGGCTGTCGTCCGCTCACTCATCACTTCTTCTGATATTTGTTGAGGGATGACTACCAGCGCCGAAACAACAACACAGTTCAGCGACCTTTCACACAAACGGAACGCAGTCAAAAAAACGAACAAGAAGCATGTGTTTACATAGCATGGTAGGCTGGTGGAAGGATTATAGCGTTCGTCGTTTAGAAAACACATGTGAATTGAGCAAGTAGGAGGTGAAAGAGGCGGGATTTATTTGATTTCATTTCCTCTTGGTTGTTGGAGCACCTGACTGTTGTTTTTGCCTTGTTTGCTTATTTTCGTGTATGTCATGTGTGTAGCTTCTCGGAGTGCACATGATAAGGCGGAGAGTTCTTTGAAACGGATTGTCTTCACTGCTGTTATGTTGCGTTTCTTCGCACGTTAATGTCATCACTAGAAGTCATGTAATTAGTACCATCGTAGACTCATCAAGACGAGGCTGAGTTTCATTCGCACATCATGAATACAAGATATTAATTATAGTGCTGTTGTAGACGTTCGGTAAATGCACGCTATTAGCTAAACCATGTTTTTCTTTTGTTCACTGCTGGGTTCACTCCACATGCTGTTATTACTTTTCCTTAATCACAGAAATACATCATAACACTCGTACATCATTATCGTTTGCTCACAGTTATGTCACAGATATTCAAGATTTTAGGGAGTTTGACCTCATCTAGTCGTATGTCTGTAGAGGCGGAATTTGCAATCTGTGATGACGACCCACAATCGTCTAGGGAAGCGCAAACGGTATATTTGATATACTTACTTACTTGATACTTGAACGACCCGTCCTCACTGGTTATGCGGGCCCCCAGCAAAATTCTCATTTTTTCGGAGTTTTGCTCGCACAGCATTGTGGCTTCCTGGAGTCCCTAGGTCAGCTTAGCCAAAGTCTGCCCCAGGTCTTCACCACCACAGGCAGTCGCAGTCCTTGTGGATCAGAGGGAGATTTGCCACCATGCGACTTTATATTTAATATAGGAACTCTAGAAGTAATTTTGGCAATGGTTACTTGAATACCGCCACTAGGTTTACTGTGGTAAAGTGACTCAAGTCCTTTTTTAGGTTATTGAAGAAAATATATGCGTGTTCTAAACTTTAATTCTTTGTCAACATCATCTAATCGAATGACGTTAATGTAGGAATCATGAGTGAAGTTGTTCTATAGTTTTTGGATTTCATATTTTTGTCCTGAGCGAAGTGTTCTTTTAGTTTAAATGAACACTTTTGCTTAATTCCTCGTGCCATTATAAATTAGTGATAGATAACTGGTTTTCTGAACTAATATACATTACAGAGCTACGAAAAGCAAATTGGTAAGGACAATCATTTCTAACAATTTTAAGCTGTCCACGTTCTCATGTACGTTACTGGAACCAGATGAAAATAAAGGACTCTCACTGAGGTTGCGAAAGAATGGCGAGAAGTTGCAGAAGCTCAGGAAGAGAGCGTCCGATTTTTTCTTTCTACGAATTTTGGGAGAGGGGGCATATAGCACAGTTAGTTTTTGCATAATTAGTTTCTGCATATTTTTCCTGGGAACGTTTTTTGCGAGGTATCGTATGAAAGTAATATCGTCATGGTTTAGGTTTATCTTGCACGAGAGCGAAATGGTGGACAAACACAGGCTATCAAAGTTTGTTTAGACATTTCATCCTTTTTAGGTTTTTTCTGTTTTAAAATTCGCGATTTGGATTGAAACTTTACTTTTTGAACAAACATCTTTTCAGGTTGTTCAAAAGGATTTTGTAATTCGTCATCAGAAGCTGGCGGCTGCTGTTCGTGAAAAGCATGTGTTAGCTTCATTGACTTATGAACGAGGAGGTCATCCATTCGTTACTCGTCTTTACTGCACATTTCACGATCCAGAACGATTATGTAAGTATGTTCAACAAGTGGCTCGTAAATTCCTTTTTGATCTACTCTTTTTCGTTAGTTTACTAGAATTATTGATATGTGAAGGTTTTTCTTCCTGGTGCTACACTTCCTGTCAGTGAAAGGACAACGTTCGAGTCAGGCAATGCTTCCCGAAAAATTACTACTTCGATATATACTGACTCTTAGGCAAACCGCTATGTTGATAATACTGTCTTTTTAACGTATTTTCTGTAGAATCAGTTCGTTAAAAGACGCCCATATGTTCTATTCACGTTTACGCAATCGCCGTTTGTCGTTACCATATCTTAGTGTTAGAGTAATGAGAGCACGTAACGAATAACCCGTTCGTAGTTTGTGGATGAGTAATGGATATAACACAATGCTGCCGTTCTCATTCCCAGTACCTCTTTAGATTCCCGTGTTCTCTGCGGTTCGTTTTTATATAACATTCAAACCCAGTTTGTCTGAGTCTGACCTCAAGTGACGACATCCGTATGGTCTTTCTATCTAGGCCTTCTCTTGTTTACCAGCAGATGAGGTATGCGAGGGCGAGTAACCGCGAATCAAAATAGATCAGCCGTTCCGTGTTGTTTTATCGAGGAAAAAACATATGTGTTAAGTAGTATTCTGCACTTCAATAGCTTATCAGTTTGTCTAAACGAAGTCTTGTTTTTTGGGAGCTGTAAAAACAAATATTCATCGATCATTTCTATTCCCATTATAATTCTTATTGTCCTTTACTGCTTACCTAACTCTGACGCTCTCCTATATGTACGGAAAAGAAAAGGTTTGTTAATGTAAGTAAACCACCCTGTGCACATTCTCCAACAAAAAGTTCATTATCCTAGAAAGGGCTGGAGCCTCGTATTTTTCACCAGCGCGCTGGCAGCTAATAATGAATAGGAATAAGATAGCATGAAACGAATCCATTATTTTTGCACTTTTAAGACTCATATTCGCGCAAAGGAAAATGTGGAGATGCTTATGAATAATTCTGTAGCTGTTATATATGTCGTAAATGAGCCAATAAAAGCTTCGTAAACCTTATGAGGAATAATTGACGACTTTCAGTGTGTTGAACGGTCTGACATAGACGTGTGATTAGATTCACAATTCATCAATAAAGTCATTCAGGGTCCAACTGTGATTTTGGTTTATACGATGACTTTTGGGAAAGCACCAGGCGTAGCAATGAATTTACTTCTCCCAGATATGTTGACTACTATTTCGCCTCATCATAGCGTTCTTCACTTGCCTGTTGGGTGGAGCTAATTAAATATGACTGCGAATAACCCTAGTACTACTCACTTGATAAACGAACTCAGACTACTTGGCGTACCTCCAGGCTCCAGATAGGTGTTAAAAGCACACTAGAGGCCACCATATTCTTTTATTGAGACAAAGATATGAACTGCAGGTCTCCGCCATACCATATCATGTTATAGGCTTCGTATACACGTAATTAAGTTCTTAGTGGAAACCTCATAGAAAGCGGCTCTGAAGAAGGCGAAATCCGCTGAAACGTCAGCTTAATCGTGAACAAAGAATAGTAACACCTCGCGTTTGCTCAACAAAAATACGAAGAAAATCACTTAATTAAGTTCTGTTTGTGTGATTATATCCAAAGTTCGTTTCTTCCAATAGTGTGTATCTAAACACTGGTGACGTACCTAGGTGGCAGTTTGATGTCGCTTCCAATAAATATATCTCCCGATTATTTAGGATACCATGTTACCTCTCTACTGGTCAAATCCCTGCTATGTAGCCGTGTGTTCCGTTTGGATTGAAGCATACAAAAATATGAAGAATATGAGCCACACGCAGCCTGTGTGATGCTTTCGAACGCGCTAAAGAGCTGTGGTGCCACAATCGTGGCGAATGCGTTCTCCTGATGGACGTTTGATTACAGCTAGTACAGGCGGCGGTAGTTCATGTAGCTTCCAAATATCGAAATGATAAGACATGTCGTATTCGAGAATTGAGTTATGATTTCCCACCGACTTACAGATTTCGTCAGCGATGTAGCACATCATGGCGAGCTACTGTTTGCTTTAAATCGTCTTGGATCATTTGATGTTCGTGTCTGTCAATTCTATGCTGCTGAAATTGTTGCCGCACTTGAATTTATTCATAAGTGAGTTCTAGTGGAAATTTTATAATAATAGCAATTACGAAAAGTTCCTCAACTAGATTTGAAGTTTCACATTTAAAAGTGTGAGCGATGACTATTACCTCATTCTTCCTCTTTTCGAGCATTTAAGGCTATGTATCGAAGTTATTTCACGTGAAAATTATTTCTATCCTCCTCATTGTCGATTAATTATAAGTAATAAGGTGGTTTCTTGATAACGAAGTGAAGTGAGCGGTGGAATGTTTTGTAAACATAATAAATGTAGAAATAAGTTTCCATTCATTGTCTTCACCTGCCTAGTTATCCAATGAGCTAAGCTTTCTCTTCGACGAAGAGCATCATATTTTGCTCCCATCGTCAACACATAACGGACAGTACCCATTCTAAGCAATCAAGCGCACCGCCCCAGTGGCACTTATAACCTCTACATGGTTCATTTTTCTCTTTATGGTTATTATGGCACTCGAAATCCTTTGCCTACGATTCTTGCAATAAGTTGACAGCTTGTCTAACACACATGCTGTAAGGGGCATCAGCTGGGAAAGCTCTATTCTGCTCTTAGAAATATACAAGAGAATCTTTCTCCATCGAGTTCATTAACTGCTAATTTGCCAGGCAACACGCTGTTATTTCAACTCTGGTGAGTGTCAAAATATAGTTCTTACGCAGAATGAGCGGGTCAAAATATGCTTAGGTAGCTCTCTTGGCGGCTTTCAAACATATCTTGTTGACATTGAAAAGAACATTGAATGAGCCGGTCTTATTTCTCGTTAATTATGCTGATAAGGGTATTTCGAGAAACTAGTCAAAAAGAAGGAAAACGCGGCATGGAAGTTTCTAGAGATCTGAAAAAATTCTTGTGTTCGAGCTTATGTTAACAGTGGCGCAAAGTTAAACGGCATTTAGTTGGCTGCAACTTTATGTCAAACTCGCTCTTCTGCTTGGTTTTCTTTTCTCACTAATCATCATCGAGTACTTATTCCGATGCTAGTGTTCATACGCTGAAAGTTCAGATCTTCTCTGTAATCATTTAGGATTCATACAGCTTAAAAGTGACCCAATAAAGTAAAATAAAATAATTGAACAATTGAAATAACAAAATTGGCCTTTTCGTGTTTATTCTGTTCGGTGCTATCTAAATTAATGTTTTTCCTGGGTCGACTTTTCTTGTTCGAGAGAACGATGTCCTTCATTTTCATTATTTCTGCAGAGAAATACCCACCGATAGCTTCCTGGGCTATGAATAGTACAATAAATTGGGGTACTTTGTAGCTAGCCATGTTTTCCTAAAGTAATGCGTCTTATTTGGTGGTGAGTTTTTGGAGTACGTCAAACACACTTTTCAGTTGCTTCACTGTAGGCTTTCAGCAGAATAAAAATTGTAGATACAGTCCGCTTATCCGCAACCATTGCTTATATATCCATAATTCTTGCGGATCATGCTTGATATAGGTAGGGATTCTATCCTCTAAATCTACCTAGGTCGTATGGCGTTTACTTCATTGTTTTGGTCCACACTTATTCCTATCGCTTGGAAACCCTCCTAATAGTTTCGCATCTTACTAGGCCAATCTCGTTTGACGAAGATCGGTGGAGTTATGATAAAAGGAAAACAACAATATCTTTGCTCATAATTTTAATACTAATAATCGAAGCAGTATTCTGGAAATGTAATATATCTGCAATTTTATGACAAGAATCATTCTCACTTTGTCATAGTAGCTTAGCCATAGCATAAATAGGATATATCGTTGTTGGCGCTGCTTACCGCTCACCTCAAGACGTCAATGTGTCCTATCGATTTCATGGTCTCATCATCTCCCATGATCCCCCTCTTTCTATGACGTTAGAAGTATGATAGATTCTTGCAGTAAATAGAAATAATGTTCATATATCGAATTTTAATCAATTTTAGGTATGGTGTTGTTCATCGTGACGTGAAACCCGAAAATGTACTTCTTCGAAAGAATGGCCATATTATGCTCACGGACTTTGGCAGCGCACAAATTTATGACGAGTCTTTATGTATATAAGTAGATGTGTTACTGCTAATTAAATAAAATTAAGTTGTTACTTGTTATTTTCAGTTGTTGATTACGAAGAGGAGAATGATTCCCCTTTTCAAGTACGAAAGGTGCGGCAATCTAGAAAACTTGCTGAGATTACAACATCAAGTAGTGCCAGTTCAACAATTGAGTCAAACGAGCAACTGATGGGTCAGTGAACTTGAAAAATGCTATTAGTTAAATGGTTTCAAAAAGACTTCATTTTAAACAGTCTGATTTCAACAAATTTTGCAACATCGGCACACCATTTTTGTCAAAGGTTTTCCTTTCTGATGCTTGTGCTGCATGACAGGCTATAATAAATGCTCATATAGTTACACAAGTTTTTTATGTCTCTATTCATCACTAAGACGCGTATAGCTCAGTGGTTAGAGGTGCCTTGCAGTACACATGGGTTCAATCCTGCGCCCCAGGCTCACCAAGCCTTCCATCCCTCAGGGGTCCGCAAATTGGTACTCGACCTGTTTTGGACAATAGCAGCACTAACTAGATGCATTCGAAGACCACCGTGGATCATTGTTTAGGTTAGATGGGCTTTCAGCCACCTTAACAATGCTAAATGAAGTTGAGTGCATAGTGCATCCCTCTGGATTTGATCAACGCCGAGAGCTTTATCCTTTTGTATTTTTACATTACGTAACTTTTTACTTACTGCCCATTTTTTTTATCATGGTAGGATATTATGTGAAATGCAGTCACAGTGATCATTCCCGTTGACGGGTCATGCGCTGATGGCACCGTTAGGGGCAAAAACTGGCGGAGGAGAAGTTAAAGCAAGGGCGTTGGTGGTGCAGCGGGTAACACGTGAGCTCCCGAAAAAAAGATAGCGGCGAGTTCCTATCTGGTTTGGCTCCAGAGTTTTGGAAATATCTTACCGTCAATGTGGTGATCTTTACATTTTAAATGTTTTTTAGGGTTACAACTCACCAAGAACTGAAAAGAAAGTTTAAATTACTGAGATTACTAAGGGGAACACTGCGGCAATATACATCGCCGATACAGTGCGCGGAATGCCAACATGTACTGCTGGTCTAAATCGTGTTCCTTCAATTATTTGGTTGTTCAAGGTCCGACTGTTGACGAAAAAACATGTATTTCTTCAGAAAATCAGAATTTCACATTGATAGAATAAAAGAAAAGCGTTTACTTCGTAAACAAGGATCTATGCAACAGTATTCCTTTCAGTTGGTAAAATTCGCTGCGAGCTTAGACATATTGGAGGAAAGCCAAGAAAAACAAATCTTTCTATTTCCACAATATATGCATTGGTGTCAATACACATAGTTTGTCACATGTTTGCAGTGAAAAAATAACATAATACTGTGATCCAAATGTTCCCATGTTCGTTTATTCGTTTACTTGTTCGCTTTCTTACGTTGGCTAATAAATTAAAGGGTTGGATACACTTTGGCTATTAAATTAAGTGAGCATTAACTTTTAAGTCGGCTTTCATAAGATATCATGTATAATCCTATCTAATTCAGTTAACTGTTTTTCAGCCTTCGAAAATACCCGCCGTGCCACATTTGTTGGTACGGCTCAGTACGTGAGTCCCGAAATGCTACGAGGCGATGAAGTGGGCCCACCGTAAGTTTGAAATGTTTGTTATGTTCATTTTTTGCCCATGAATTAAGGAAACAAAATCTATTTAACTTCAATGATGCTGAGATATTTGCAAAACTCCGGACCGCAGGTGTATGCGGTGGGGAACGAACGCGCTATTGTCCTTTCCGGGGAGTAACGCGTTCGCCACCACACCATGCGGGTCCTTCGTTTCGCCTTTCTCTCAGCTAGTTCTATCGATTTCGGCCATGAAGTTGTATTTCACAATATACCCTGCCATCAAAAAGAGTAGGCAGTAAATAAAACGGTTAAGATTAAAATCTGTTTAATTCACGAAAGTGACACCACTTGGGGTTATGGTTAAAGTTTTACAAAATTTTTCGTGGTAACAGATGTGACTATTGGGCGCTTGGTGCGATCGTGTTCCAAATGATCTCCGGCCTTGCTCCGTTCCGTGCCATCAACGACTTTCATCTATTGAACAAAATTCAGAAACTCGATTTTACGTTTCCATCTGATTTTCCTGGTGTTGTAAAAGATTTTGTTTCGAAGCTTCTGGTAGGTTTTCTTTTTGATGAGCTTCTGAGGAATTTAGCGGTATTTTGATTCGTTCATGTGCACGTTTTCCAATTAACTGTCCACGTCATTGTTTGTTTGCCAGCCGGCCCATTCCTTAATCGTGTTATCAGCACAGTGTCGTTTTGCCCATCAGAAAGATTTTTAGGTACTGGATCCTGTCAGTCGGCTTGGATCTGATGATCTGAACAATCTTAAATCTCATGAATTCTTCAGTGGAATTAATTGGAATCATATAACCGATATGAGACCTCCAAACATAATCCTGTCGGTCTCTCCAGTAATAGGTAGCCACTATTGTTTAGAAATGGAAAGTGTCAAGTATGTGATGTTCACAAACCTGACTATCTTTTGTAATTTTCTTTTCTACAGTTTAACTCGTACTTCTTTTTTAAGCAGAGGGTGAGGCAACTGCGAATGCGATAGAACCTGGTCTCAACGAAAGAGCTCTCAATCGACTAATGAATCTATCACTGGTGGAAATGGGGCCTTCGTTAGTTGTTATCATCGCATAATGTTTATTATAGTTAGAATGTTCTATCTGGTGTAACCAATTTTCACCGTTAAATTTTTTACTACTAATTATTTGTTTTCTACGTTTTAGAAAGCAACCGTCTTTGAATAGCGAAATTCTAAATGTTGCAGTGGATATTCCTAGGTCAGTTAAAACAGGTCTGCTCTGGTTGTCTTTTCATTAGGTAGTCGTTTTAGTGATATGGTTGAACTACTGAAAGTGGATAAGAAAGCTATGGCTGTACGACAACGAAAGCTTGAAAAGCAACGAAAGGAAAATCCTTACCATCTGTATGCCTTCTAGATATTCTTGTTAATTATTTGTTTGAAGTATTTAGTAGCGAAGAGCACGGTAATATTATTATTTTTATGTAATTTACAATCGCTTTAGATTCGTACAAGACAATTTAATTATCCGATCTGGCTTCATAGATAAGAAGAAAGGCCTTTTCTCTCGGCGAAGGATGTTTTTACTCACCGAGGTAGTCAAATGTTCATTAAGTGAATTGTTTTTATATTAGAAGAATTCATTAGAAAATTTTGTTCCAGGGTCCTCATCTTTTTTATGTTGATCCGAACAGTATGGAGTTGAAAGGTGAAGTGCCGTGGTCTCCTTGTATGCGAACTGAAGTGAAGAATTTTCGCGCATTCTTCGTTCATACGGTATTTTCATTGTTTTTAGTGACGTTGTTTCTCTTGCTAATTTTCGAATTCTGTTCAGTATTCGACGTAGTGATATGCTGCTGCCTTTAGGATTACATGTTAAATGGTGTGATTGTTTTAGCCGAAACGAATCTACTATCTTTTCGATCCAGAATCAAGAGCTGTTGAATGGTGCAAAGCAATTGAACAAGTCAGTTTGAAAAACCAGCCCCATTATCTTCAATCATTCCCTAGTTTTCTAGTAGTTTTTTAAAGCGCACCCAATGTTTATCATTTGAATCATGAATGTTGCTGTTTCAAGACTACTTTTACATAGATAAAGAATGAAAACAATAGAGATAAGAGAAAAGGTGATTGGGTGGGGTGAATCAGCGAGCATAGTAAGTGCTCATTGCGTTCACGTTACATATTAAACAAGGCCTTAGAGGATTTCTGTCCCTCAAAAAAGGTGCTTTTCAGTCTGGAATGTGTTGCCAGTAGGTCAGTTATACAGTTGGCATTGGGTGAAAGGGATGAATAGGAATTTAGAAAAGGAGGGAAAGGAACACATTTTTGACATATTATTTACTGCCTACTCTTTTTAGCGAGAGGGTATACTGCGAAATATGACTTCAATGATGCTGAAATATTTGCAAAACTCGTGACCGCAGGTGTATGCGGTGGGGAACGAAAGTGCTATTGTCCTTTCCGGGGAGTAACGCGTTCACCAATCCCGCTAAAGGGTGTTCGCTGATGGCAGAAGATCGATAGAACTAGCTGAGAGACAGGCGAAACAAAGGACCCTCGTGGTGTGCTGGTGAACGCGTTACTCCCCGGAAAGGACAATAGAACGTTCATTCGCCATCGCATACACCTGCGGTCCGGAGTTTTGCAAATATCTCAGCATCATTGAAGAACACGTTTATTCTGGAATGAAAATGCTCGCTTATTTTCAGACCGGTATAGATGGAACATAGGCTACTAATATAATAATAAAGTCTGGTTCTAGGTGAAAATACGGTATGCAGATAAAATAGCTGAGTCGTATGCGAGAGCTGTGAAAGATGGCACGTTCGGCATGAATAAATTTAAGAAGTCGTGCAATTACTTTGGCGACAAGAGGAAAAAGAACGACGAAAACGCGAAGAACGAATGAGTACAGTTGAAAAAAGTTGCTCAGAGGAACTACTGAAATATCTGAATGTGTATCACTAACAGTATAACGGAATTTTTCATCGCCTTCTATATTTACGTTATTTCTTGTGCGCTATAATTATATCTGCTAGCAGTTCACGCTCATATGTTCGCTTAGCGTTAATCGTTACTAAAGTGACTTATGTCGTTTCAATGTAATTCTCTACTACTTCCTTTTGATTATGACTAATTGAGGCAGTCTCCATTCACTAATCCCTAGTTGTGACATCTCTACTTTCAATTTCATCCCATTATGTTGTAATATCTCTGCAAGGAAATTCGGTTAAGCTTTGGCATCGTCCAGAAGCTCTTTCACTACAGCAATCACTGTTTTCGGTGGAGATGTTTTTGTCATTAATTTTGGATTGTTTTACTATCACCACATCTTGTGTCAATCGCACAGCTGCTTAACCCGCACTGTCGTTATCCTTCCCTCTTCGAGAAAGTATCTTTCAGACATAACATATTGATTTAATCAATGAGCCCCTATAATGCTTTCCGGCTTGAGTCTATGACTTCTTATTTGGTTCACATCTGGTAACTATAAATACGGGCTATTCAATTATTGTATTAGTTTACAACTCGTTAGTTTGTTTTAATGGCTACACGCAAACTGTAGTTAGTTGTGCCGGTACTCTGTGTTAATTTTTGCTTAAACGGTTCTTCTTTTTTCTACAATCTTACTTTATGCTCGTCTTCTCTTCATTTCTGTCTCATAGACTTTACTCTATAGGTTGTTTCCTCTAACAATGCTTGTATGGGCGTAAATCAGTCCTTACTTGCCTACTGATATTTCTATGCTTTACTAATAAATTTTTTTGAGGTTTACAAGTGGTTTACAAGTTTACAGCATCGTCATCACTAGAGGATGTCAATAGTTCTCTGACCTCAATCAAGAGAAAAAATATTGTCCAACCAGAATAATATGAGACAAGTGGAAATCGTGTTAGTCTGATACCAATATTGTTTTAAGTTGGTGACAATGAAGTGTGCAAGTGATGTATCATTTCGAACCTTTTTTGAAAATTCTTCTCACCCACATGGCTTTCCTTCGCTTAACATTCTGTTAATTCTCATGAGGATGACTGCAGCAAAATGCTTGTAGAGCAAGGTACGAACTTACATGCCTTAGTCCTTTTCGCTTAGATTCTCGATGCTTTTGAAAACTTCCAAACCCATTCGCTTTATTCTGATTATTTGATCAATACTGGAATCGAAATAGGATGGAAGGTTTGCTAACAGTGATGTCGTTTAATAAACGCAAGAACCTGATCAATGTCGACTTGTCGCAACAAGATTTCCATCCTTCTAAGGTCGGGAAATTGGTACCGAACTAGTCTGGGATCAGCTGGGTCGTCGTTCCAACATACGAAAGAAGCGTTTGAGGAAATTCATGAGAAAGACTGAAAATCTTTGGGCAACATTCGAATCCATGAGCAAAGTCCGAAGAACTTTGTCGATGTTGGCTGCGAGGAAATGAATCATATGTCAGAATTGCTGAGATCCGCTTAACATATGATTTTGTCTCGTGCTAAAAATACTTGCATCGCCATTCCTTGACCATTTATGTTACAGCTGCTAAACGTGGCACCACACATTATGCATTTTCTAGTCAACAATAAAAGAAAGAAAAATCTTCACCGTCGTCATGTAATGAAGGCCACAGAAAAGATAATGAGTGCTAGGAAAGAAAGCAAAAAGGACAGAAGGCGCCTAAAGTCATCACAAAAGTGAATCAAATCGGTCGGATACAATCCATTCAAGAAAAATTATGGAATCTATTGAGCAGCACAAAACAACCATGGTCCATATTCAGATTTACTGAAGAAATGGATATGATAAATTCTACAATGAAAGGACCTGCGTAAGTTTCCGTGGGGTTAGATACCGAAGCCGAACTGTTCTTCATCGAATTAAGATTTCTAATGAAACTTTCCTTTTCACCGTAGATGAAACTAAAATACTTCTACAAAAATTGTCACATAAGATCCTATTCAAAGTATGAAGTGCTGAAGGCTATCTGCATTCATTACTTTTTTCACATATGGTACTATAAAAAATCGTGCATTTTGCTAACAATCTGGCTATAAACTTTATTTGACGTCATGACCTTCATGCCGATTTGGACAAAAATAAGCATATGGTCAAACGATCAATTCTGCTCTTTTGTAACCAATTGAGGGATTTTATGAGGAAGGATAAAAGACACATTAAACTCCCATCAGGACTACATGTTTAACTAATTCTCCTGGGACACATATTCTTTGATAAACTCTTGAAATCGCTATAATTGCAACAAAGGCAAGACGATAATTCGTTGCGAGTATAACATAGTAGAGACGAAAGAGATTCGCTGGAACGATGTTGCAAGAGCGCGTCAGTACTGCTCTCATCCAGCAGGTGAAAGCAGCGTTTGAGAGTTGAGTCAAATTATACAAATACTGCGCTTTGGAAACCACTTAGGAGGCGGAATTTGCAAGCTCAGATGTAGAAAAAAAAACTAATGGATCAAAAATTTCCTCAAGATTTGGTGATAAGTCAACTGTGGGAGGGGATAAAACTTAACTTTACTTACTTGATTCTTAAATGGCCCATCCTCACCGGTTGCGCGGGCCCAGCATAATCTCCATTTTTCGGAGATTTGCTCGTTAAGCCATTATGGTGTTTCCTGGTGTCCCGAGGTCAGCCTGGCCAAAGTATGCCCCAGGTCTTCACCACCACGGGCAGTAGCAGCCCTTGTAGATTAGAGGAAGATTTACCACCAAGCGGTTTTGATACCAGGACGGTGGTAGTTCCTGGTATTGGTTTACTCTTAGTTGGGCTTCATGATGGAAACGCGGGACTCCTTCTTAGCTTGGGAGACCCAGCAAGGGGATGAGTACCCCGCTGTCCATCGCAGTCGAACACCCAGGAACACCGCCCAGCCACGATGAGGCGGTAAACCGTTGAAAGAAAAACTGTTAAACTTAACTTTAGACTCAACATTAAAGTTCAATTTGTTGGACTCCACATTGCGATAGTAAGGCCTTTTTCAATAATCCAGAACCATTTTTCGGAAGCAAAATGGGGAAAAATGAAAATCTTTTCAGAAAATAAGCAAGGATCACTAGGCATTCACTGCTACCAACAATCAGCATCTTGCTGAAGTAAACACGACTCGAAACGAAGCCGAAGACACAGAAACTTTGGCCGAGTAAAATTTTTTGTCAACCTCGTGTTAGATCATAAATGTCGGCTTCTACATCGTCTTTGAGCTGTCGGTTACTTTTACATTCCTACTTTCGTTTCTGATTTCGGTTTCAACAACTCTCCGAATCACCTAGTAGGAAGACCGAGCGAAGGATTCGCCGCTAAAAACACACCTCCCTCTGATCCATATCGTGGTGAAGACCTGGAAACGCTCTTGTAAGGACAAGTGAGAACTCCAGGGAGGACCAAGTTACACGACCAGCAATAGGCCAGTCCCAGTACCCCGTACAGTGGGTGCTCCCGTCTATGACGTCGTGCGGTGAGACGACCGGTGAAAGACCATAAAATCTCGGTTTACGCAGGACGTCGCTGGAACCGGATCTGACGAACACACGCATGACACGCCATGGAGATTGTTTCTTACTCTGCACACATAATGCCAGAACGCTCTCCACGGGCGCAGAGCGCAGAACTTCACGCCCTTCTTGTAGCCACAGATCGCATTAAATTTTTTTGTGAACGCATTACATGAAATAAAAATCAAAAAGACCGACATGCATCATCTAAACAACGGGACCCTTGTGATCCGTGGAGAAAAGGTTCCGTCACAAAATGTCGGTGGCGTGCGCTTTGTCGTCCAACCGTCCATTGTCCATCTCGTCGATTCATACGAGATCCCTTCCCATCGCATAGCCGTCCTCCGTCTTCAACTGTCACATCATAAGAAGATCACTATCATCAACTGCTACTCACCGACCAACGCAGATGATGAGTACGAATTAAATGCGTTCTGCTATCAGTTGAAGGAAGTCACCCACAATGATAAAGAATATCATAAATTCGTTGTTGGAGACTTCAGCGCCAGCATAGGAAAGGCCAACGAGAGCGAATACAGGAACGGAAATTTTGGATTAGGAGAAAGAAATGAGAATGGGAACCGTCTCGCAGGGCTCCTGTCAGCAGCACGTCTCTTCCATGGAAACTGGTTTTTCCAGAAGAAAGAAAGCCGCAGCTGGACATGGGAACCCTCCAACGGCATGATTCATGCGGAGATCGACCATATTCTGGCGAACAGAAGATGGTGCCGACTTGACACATCGGTAGCCTCGTCATTCTTTACTGGTTCCGATCCTACGCCTTCTTCGCGCTAAGATTCGATTCAACCGCAAGCCGGAAAAGAACTCTCTTCATCGACCACGAGGAAACAGTTTAGCCGTATACGACGAGAACATTATAAACGAAGTCCTGTCCAAACGTGACTGGCAGATTAAAGAAGACCCGACTGAAGACTACGAGCTGCTTGTCGAGGGACTGAAAAGCTGTGCCGAATTCGCCTCAGTTTCTCAAGGAGTTGCTCGAAAAGAGAAGGAAACTGAAGCCTGATCCTACTGCAACACAATTAGCATGGGTAGTAATAAATGCCAGTTGCAGAAAAGCTTTGCATAAAGATCAACAACGGTACAAGGAGAAGAAAATACTGGAGGCACCAAAGAAAGGAAGCAATCTGAAAAATCTCGTAGGCACTTGTGTGTTTGTAACGTTCAGCTTTCAGCTCTGTTGAATGAAGATGAGATCACCAAAACTTCCCGTCACGGTATGAACTAATATCGGAAACGTTCTACACCAACCTTTCCGTTCCACAACCCCCATTGCGTGTATTCATAAAATCCTCGTTGAGGAAAAACCGCGCGCAATTCTTCCGCTGGACATTCGACTTGCGATAGAAAGCTAGAATAAAGGCACAGCTCTCGGACCCGATAATCCCTGCCGACTTCCTTGAGCTGGAAGAGAAAATTTACATGTACTTTTCGCAAACCGTATGAGAGCCTACCTTTAAAAAAAAGAAAATCCCAGAGCAGAGGTGGACGCCGCACACGGTTATCCTTCTCAAGAAAGGTGACCGAAGAGGTCTTCGCAACTGCCGTTCGATATTCTCGATGACTGTCCTCTATAAGTTTTTCACGAGGATTATCCTCTCGCTCGTAACAGGAACATTGGATGAGTCGTAACCAGTCCAGCAAGCAGGATTTCGAGAAGGATTTGGCTGCATGGACCACATTTAAACCGTGTCCAGGGTCATCGAAGTTTGTCGGGAATACCACTTGCCTCTAGTCCTAACCTTTGTCGACCATGAAAAAGCGTTTGACTGTATCGAAACGAATGCAATCCTATCAGGGCTCCTCGACCAAGGAGTGAACGCGTCCTACATAGGGACTCTGTCCGACTGTTATCGGAACTACACTGCGAAAACACAGCTTTTCTATCGACTTCTTACCATACCCATAGGAAAAGGGGTTTGAGAGTTCGACACAATATCTCCAAAGCTGTTCACTACCTCACTGTAGTGAACAATGGAGTCACTCGATTGGGATGAGAAAGTCATACGTATTGATGGAATGTTCCTATCAAACCTTCGTTTTGTGATAACATCGTCATCTTTTCAAAAGGTACAGCGAAACAGAGAAAATGTTCAACGAACTAAACGAGGCAGGAAATTAGATCGGACCACTCATCAATCGGGAGATTACCCAGTTTATTAGAAACCCATAGCGCGAAGGCGAACAAATCAAACTGGATGGTTCTCTGAATGCAGAGCCCAACTCGAAGTAGGTGATCAAAGGACAGGAAAAATAACAGGAAGGAGCAATTAGATAAAAAAAGGTGAACAACTTAGGCCGCATTTGGGCCTCTAAAAGAAGCAACCGACCAACTGAAGGACTCGAATATCCGCGCTCATCTGTTCGATTCAGCTGTCCTCCCAGTGTTCTGTTATGCTCAAGTGACGTGGGCTAATACTTTAACCACGTAAAGAGTATTTTTCAGCCATACATAAAGCGCTTGAACGATGTCTTTTAAAATTTAATCGGAGCTCACAACGTCTAGCTCGCTTACACAGCTCAGATACTCGAAATTTGTCCCATCTTCGGCATCTAGAAAAACAACCATCGATAGCGGATTATAGAAGGGGCGATCCCAAGAAGAACAGATGACAGATGGACGATAAGAAATCGAAAGTGGAATCCTGTTTAGTTTTCTTTTACCAATAAAATGGCTCGTAGAATTTCGGAAAGGAGGAACGTTTGCGGGGATATCTGTTTTCCTAATGTGAAATGGATAAATGTAGAGGCAGCTGTCAAATAGATTAAAGTAGAAGACTCGTACACGTTTTCTCAGTACTCTTTTGGATGCACCAAATGATCCACAGCATCTCGTCGGAAAGCGGTTGTTTTGATCTTGTTGATGCCCACGTGTGCATTTCGGCCGCACTGCCAGATGCTAAAACCCTTCTACTCTCACACCGGGGACCTATAACTCCATTAGAAGAAATTTTACGACTAAAAGGTAGGTATTCAATGGCTGTTAGACGGTACGCGACACTGATATTTGAGAAAACACAATCATGGGTTAGGTCAAAGATTCATAAGTCATGTGTGAACAGTGGTTAAGTAACAGAACGAGACGAGCTTTCGAATTACTCGTTTTACATTCTCGTGTTTCATGCGTTTTATGTGTTTTTCTACATGCGAGAGCGGTTTCATACTCTATTTATCTCAAACTGCGGAAATTCCAATGTTCGACTGCAGTAAACCCTTAAACAACGCGTCGCAATATTTGCAAGCTACATACATACATAGGCGGGCGTAGTAGATGGTAGTGGGTTCGTTAGGAAACTACTTTATGCCACGGAAAACCGAAATACACCTGAATCAACAAATACGACTTGCCTTGATAAGCGCCCTAAACGGTGCCGACTTCAGCGGACCCAACGAATCACTCAGAGAGTCGCGGAAATGCTATCAGAGAGTATTGCTGCCTCACTCACAAAGCCTGCACCACCTGCAATACCAGTGTTCCGACATTTACGGGTACTCTAATGCAGATGTGAGCCGAGAACATGACTACGAATGCAAGGTGAGTTCGTTACCAAGAAAAACAAAAGATTTCGCAGGTCGTTTCGATAAATGAGATTGATGCCATGACATATTCATCTGAAATTGCACTTGTTAGATACAAAATGTAAACTCATAAGCAATACAACGATAGATATCTGATGACATATACGTTAGACATCAAGCACAAACTATGCGGACTATGCGTCTTCTTCTCTGTTCTAAAGTTGTTTGTTGCCCACAAGGAAGGATGTTATCTCACCTTTATTCACAAGAACGAGCGTTTCGGTATACTCAACCACACTCAGGAGATACAGACGTCCAGTTGATTGCAATCTAGGCAGTTAAGCACATGCAAGCCGGCAATAGCAAAACTGTGAACTCAAATATCAATCACAATGAGAACGAAATAGATTTTCTGCGCAATTCCACGCTTTCGACAAGTTCTCCAGCGAATACCCTAGGTGGAGATAAATCGCACTGAGGTCTCATAGTTGGGTAATGCGTCTCTCCAATGTCAAAATATCATTCTGAGATATTCCGTGAGATCATGACTAATAACGAGGCATTACCCCTGCGGTACATTTTGGGTTTCCTGAGATTTATCCAGAATGCTTCGAGAGTTTTGCTTCCAGTCTTCGATTGCTCTGCGAAAATAGTAACTTTCTCTTCAAAATCTTTTTCATTACGTCTTTGTGTCCTATACACGTCTAGTGCAGGGTTTGGCTCAACTTTAAGTCCGCGACTAGGCGTTTCTTGTACGGTCGCAATGTGGTCTATCACTTTCTATGTGAAAATAAATTTAAAATTTTATAAAAATCCCAACGCAAGCGCTTCAGTTGCAACCAGAAATGGTGCACGAGTGAAGGGAGCACCGTTGTATTTTGCTGAAAATGATAACAAATTCCCTTGGTTTGAAGTTCGAAATATCGAGATACTAACTCCTCTCTGAAACGAAGCGAAGAGAAAATTCGTTTCAAGATTTCCAGGATGGCCAAGCGAGCTGGTAGAATTTCGAATGAAGTGATCTGATAGGAAGCGGATGAGACTAATCTATCTAGTGTCTCTAATCTAATTGGCTCACGTTGGTTTTCCCCCTTTTCGTCTGTTGTTGAACAGTCGTATAGAAATTGGTAATGTAACCAGCGGTCTTAAGAAGGGTGTTAAGATCAGTGTTTGAAGTAACCCTCTTGGTAATTCCCATGACCGACTTTCTGTTAACCTCGGCATTAATTGATAATTCAATGTTTTTCATCAATAAGCAGACACGAGGTTGTTAATATAGAATTTAACTAACCCATAAGTTAGTCCCATAAGACCATAAGTTAAGATAAGTTAGTCCATAAGCAAGACCCATAAGTTAACACGCGCTGATGATCTGGCGTCTACCGACCCCTCCACTTTTAAAGTGAGACCCATCATCAGTTGTGTAGACGGGCCTACAGATAGAATTGCTTGGTTTATAAACCTAATTCTCAACCAGTTGCTTAGGCACATACCAGCCCATCTCACGAACACCCAAATGTTCCTAGACCGTCTGCGTAACGCACGTCCCAAAAGCGCGTACGTTATGGAATCGTTCGACGTTACCGCTCTTTACACTAACGTGTCGAACGACTCCGCAATGCAAGCCATCCGTGAGCTTCTTGAGAAACACGAAGGAGCGATTAACATGTATGGCTTTTCGATTCAGCAGCTTATGGTCCTCCTGAAGGTCTGTTTAAACTGCTCGATCTTCAGATGGTCCGGGAAATATTACGCACAAATTAGAGGGTTGGCAATGGGACAGCGACTGGCACCAACCCTTGCCGTTGCCTTTATGTCTAAAGTGGAAGCACCAGTAATCGATCTCACGCCATTACTCTACTGTAGGTACATAGATGATTGTTTTGTCATCTGNACCACAAAATGGTATCGAAAGCCGAGCAGTAAGAATATAGTGGTTCACTACCGCTCCTCTCACCCCTCACACACTAAAAGAGCGCTTATAAGAAATATGTTTCGAACCGCCGCTAGCGTGTGCACAGGTAGAGAGCAGAGGGAAGAATCCTCGAAACTGGCGCGACAAATAGCCATCTCAAATGGTTACGAAACTGTAGCTTCTCAGGATAGGCATCGAGGAAATCCCACGCCCCAAAGCGATAATTCTAGTGAAAACAAGGCTCCGTTTCTGTTGCCCTTTATTTCAAACGAAATAAGTGCAGCTATAAAACGCTGCTTAATAAGGGCCGGTCTAGAGAATTTCGTAAGAGTGATAGAAATACCACCGGACACTCTAAGACGCCAGCTAGTTCGCAACCGCCTGTACGACCGTCTATGTACAACAAAAAACTGCATAATTTGCCCAAATGGTAGAGACGGTGATTGCATGAGTTCGGGTACAGTCTATCTGATCTCTTGTAAAGCGTGCGGGCACGAATATGTTGGCGAAACGGGTAGACCGCTGTGCGTCCGCATAAAAGAACACCTAGTCGGTAAATGTAAACTAAAACACAATACTCCACTAGGCGCGCATAGGATGCAAGAACACAACGGAGAAGATTTTGAGGTACGAGTCACTATCCTTACGCAGGAATCGAAAACATCAGCGCGAAAAACTCTTGAAGCGTTTTGGATCAATGCCAAAAATTCAAAAATGAACCGCAAGGAGGAGTGTCTTGTCATCACGCGTGACCTAGCGCCATACCTCAGGCTGATCCAATGATCTGACATGGACCCAGTTATCGACCATGTATTACTCTGTGCGGCGGCTATCCACCAACTAACTTAAATACTTACAACAAATAAACGGTAGGTGTTTGAATGAAGCTGTTTCTTATGCGAATGCAAATCGATTTGTCAAGTTTTATCTGCTAGGGTTGTGAAAGTGTTTGGCTGAGTAGATCACATCTCAATTTGACCTTTCCAGGCTCTGAAGAAGGCGAAACCGCCGAAACGTCAGCAATTGTGTTCTAATAAATTCTATATTAACAACCTCGTGTCTGCTTATTGATGAAAAACATTGAATTAACCCTCTTGGTGTTATAGGTACATACAAAGAATCCCTCTCCATGGCATCTCGTTAGCGCGCTCGGCTTGTTCGTTTCAAATGACATTCTGTGCAACCCGAGATTTGATGGCCTCTCACTGGTATTCTCACTTCCAGACGTCGCGGACGGGATGGCCCAGTGTGCGGGTTACTGAAACGGGTTAATTGCTAGGTGCTAGTACGGACAAGTGTACAGAACCGGTAAGACAGAATAGAACACCGATCGAATAATGGAAACTTTTCCTCGATAGTATTTTCTTCTAGAGGGCGAGTGTTAATCCATTGCTCCCATTCAATGTGTAAAAGAAAATGCTGCTAATTCTGTTTTATACTTCAGCCTCTATAAAAAATAGATCTGCTTAATCGCATAAGGTCTCCTATTGGTGACTATATTATTCCCTTTCCATATAACATCCACATTTTCAGAATTTGAACAGAAGTCCACCTCACACTTTACACATAAATAATATGCTGACGAAAATACGCGAAAAGGCCGAAGATGTACCCAGAAACAAAGCAACTTTTTCACCTTTTTCGTAGGAGTGCCCTTCAATGCGCTCTTCGGTCAAGACAGCCCTGAATTCGTGAGTATTTACAGTCGAGGAAATATCTGTTCCGTCACTTCCATTTCTCCCATTACCAATTGAGCAACTAAATTCATGATCGTCTACGAAAGGCTAAATTGAACATTCGCTTTTCATGTTATTCAAACACGATCAGCTTTATTTTTCACCAACAGGAAAGAACATGAACCTTCTGCCGCATCAATCATTCAAACTCTCCACTCTCTTATCACTGAGATCTTTGAGCCCTTCTGAACGGTCATTCGCAGATTTTACTAGCTTCTCCTTTTTTAGCATGCGAGCTTGAACACGTTCGCTAAGTAATGGCTCGCTATTGACATAAATTAAGCATTTGGACACTTTTTATTTACAGTAACTCCCACGACCAACTTTCTATTAACCTCCGCATTGATCAAGTAATTCTTCATATTTTTGTTGAGCAAACGCGAGGTGTTATTGTTCTTTGTTCACTGTCATAATGTGATTTCTATGCATTATGCATTATTTCAATGTGATTTCATTGTACTTCCATGTGATTTCTGTGCGATTGGTCTCTACGTGACATACTTGGTGAAAACCACATAGGAAGCGGCTCTGAGGAAGGCGAAATCCGCCGAAACGTCAGCTTATTCGTGAATAAAGAATAATAACACCTCGCGTTTGCTCAACAAAAATACGAAGAATTACTTTTTATTTGCTTCGTATTCTTTTTATGGCAGAGAAAATTAAGCATTTGGTGTTTTGAAAGCCGCAAGAATTTTTCCTATGAAAGAGTCCAGTGAAGAGACTCAATGGCGCTCAACGCAGACGTTCCAGAATGAAATTTTCAAAGAGATTTGTGTTTCTATTTACATAGCTGGATAATTTCTTCTTCAAGCTGAAGTGGATTTCCGTCATATTGCAGCCTTTGTAGCTCTAGCTACTCTCCTCCTGGTGAGCAAACTGCTCTCGTTTTATGCGTACTCCACCCTAAATATCACTCTCTGCTAGAGCTTGTGTTCTAACCATGTGTTTTCGTGGGATAGCTATCAATTTTCTCGTGTTAATACATCATTTTTTTTAAATTTTATGTTTCCAAGAAGAACACGATCCCGATCATCACAAGTCCGAAGCCGCAGCATTGTTTTCGAGTACCAGTTCAAACCGAAGCGTCTCTAGGCGAATATGCCTAGATTGAATGAAGTGGGAAAATACAGAACTCGATGAGAAAGGTTACGTTAACAGTCTGAATGCAGCACTACTTTATTTGGAACACTTTATTTCAACTGAAGTGCTCAGCAAGCAGAAAATAGTGTTAGTAGAGACGAGTACGATAGTTGATCTAGGCTGTCTGACGATAGCTCTCATTGCGCCGTTTGCCAATGCACGGGATCTGAAGTAATTATTGCAATCAGACAGCAAACAATCTTGCAAACAATATAAATTTTTGAGAAACAAACCTCTCCATCTCTCCATGACACGAAGGGAAATGCTTTGATGCGACTGTGCAAACGACTGGGAGAGCCACCGACTAGTAGGCGGGTTGTAGACGTCGTGTAGACATCTGAAAGTTTACGGGGCTTCGAAGTCTTAAATTAAAATAACTAGGTTTCCATACTAGCAAAAATCAGAGGTACTGTTCCATACTAAATCAAAAGTTTACGTCAATAGTGGTGTTCTGTTACACTTTAACAGATGCTAGACCCACATTTGCGGTGGTGCAGACGTTATTGCGAGGGATGCGGAGAATGGTGAAAATCAAACTCGCAGCTCTTTAAATACCCAGCACTTGATAACGTTTTCTTGTTTTCCTCACTATCTGCTTACGTGCAACAATTTGCTTACCAAAGCTTATCATGAGCGACTAGTGGTATTCGGCGACTAAAGTGGTTGATTTCATGTGAACGATGGATAAGGGTTTTTTGAGCTTAAGCTTAAACATTACTTGTTCTCTAGACGAACAGAAAAAGGGGTCGGCAAAGCAAAAAGAATATTCTTTCATAGGAACGTGCAGGACTTCGTTCAATAATCCGACCTACGTAATTTGAATAACAAGCGTCCTCAGCATTCCTGTCAACCAAGCAACAACGTTGGCTCCTCGATTTGCTTCTGTTGAATGTGATGCTTAATCCACAATCCAACGTTGTTGCTTGGAGATGACGCACGGCGGATTATTGAATGAAGTCATACACGTTCCCATGAGAGAACACTGTCTTTGCTCTGCCGACCTCCTAACCAGTTCGTCTAGGTAATGTTATTATTAGCTGAAAAATTCCCTATTCATCGTTCACATGAAATCAACCACTTTAATCGTCGAATACCACTGGTCGCTCATGATAAGCTTTGATAAGCAAATTGTATCACGTAAGCAGATAGTAAAGAAAACAAGAAATCGTTATCAAATGGTGGGTATTTAAAGAGCTGCGAGTTAGATTTCTCACCATTCTTCGCACTCCTCGCATTAACATCTGCACCGCAGCAAAGGTGGGTCCAGCATCGGCTGAAGTGTAACAGAACACCACTATTCCCGTGAATTTTTATGTTGGTGTGGAACAGCGGCTGTGATTTTTATTAGTATGAAAGCTTGGTTATTGTAATTTAAGACTTTGAAGCTCTACAAATTTTCAGATGGCTAGCCGACGTCTACAGCCCGCCCACTAATTGATGGCTTTCCCAGCCGTTTGTTCGGTCGCATCAAAGCACTTCCCTTCGAGTCTCGAAGAGATAGAGAGGTCTGTTTTTCAGAAATTTATAATTCTAATAAGATTGTTTGCTGACTGAGTGCAATAATTACTTCAGATCACGTGCATTGGCAAGCGACTGAATGAGAGCTATCGTCTGACAGCCTAGATCAACTATCGTACTCGTCTCTACTAACACTATTTTTTTCTTGCTAAGCGCTTTAGTTGAAATAAAGTGTTCGATATGAAGTAGTGCTGCATTCAGACTGTTGAAGTAACTTTTCAAATCGAGTAGTTCCGCCATTTCATGCTTCGCTCAAATTAGGCATGTGTATATTCGCCTAGAGACGCTTCGGTTTGAACTGGAACAATACCATAATTTCGGATACGTGGTGATCGAGAAAGTCCTTTTACTGGTCTCATAAAATTTGAAAAGAACGATGTATTGACACAGAATCGATCGAAAGCACAAGGTTAGAATATGAGCTTTCATCACTAGAGCACTGTGACGGGTTAGCGTCGGGTAAGGCAAATCAACTATTGCACTCGAAGGTTGTAGTACTAAATGAGTAAAAGGGTAAAGGGTAAAGCTCTCGGCGTTGATCAATCCTGAGGGATGCGCCATGCATTCGACTTCATTAAGCATCATTTGGAGGTGAATGAATGCACATCTGGCCTTTACAATAACTCGCGGTGGCCTACCGATGTATTGAACCAGTGTTGCAATCCTCGTAGACAAGTCTCATACCAATTTGCCGATCGTGGAAGGATGGAAGGTTTGGTGCGCCATAAGTGCGGGTTTCGATTCCAAATGTGTGTTCAACAGGGCGCCTCAGACCAATCCGCCACTAGCGCCGAAGTTAATGAGTAACGCTGTAGCAAATATTAGGGTAACAAAACAGATGCAATGAGTATTCTTACAATTTTATTTCGTAAATATCGATGAAGCCGAAGGTCTTTGGCAGCACAACTAAGAGGAAATACTAGATCAAGGAATGCATCAAAAGAACCAAAATTGGTGAAAAAACGGTGTAATAGCAAGGTGACGAGGAGCAAAAATTGATGATGAAAGTGCGAGGCAGTGAAGGCTCAGGCTAGATGCAGGTCAAACAGCATTGCATGACCTTTGGCAAAAGGTAGACTCAGCACTAATACTGAGAGAAAACGGACTTAGGCTTTCACGGAAAGCCGCCGTAAATGCATCTATTGTATCGATCGTACTTAGCTCGATCCAAAATACCTATAATTTACATGCTTAATTACTGTGCAAAAGTATAGCTTACATAGAAATCCTGATAAAATAACGTAGTTGAGGTAGTTGAACTTCTTATCGTGTCGATAAATCTACCGGTCAGGGACATCTTCAACTGGACCTGGCGTGGATACTCGATGCGGTTGCTTCCCAGTTCTCCTTCCACATCGGGCATGAATATATTGCTATTCTGAAGAGTCAGTTTAGTAGACAAAAAAAGGGTTTATGTGATACAGAAAGGTTGGAACCATTTTGAAAGTTCTAAGCAACCACTGACGGCACCTACTTGAATTTAAAGTGTGGTCAATCTCATCAAGTAATGATGCAGCGAGGTTCGTACTGCACGCATAGTGGAGCATATTCTGGAGAAACAAAGGCTTCAGTTACAAGGTTTTTTAAAAGAATATGTGCTGAATGATATTCTACACTTAACTAAGCGAAGGCTTACCTATTACTGCTTCCACGGCACGTACAACACAACAATGTACGTTCGTGACATTCTTCACGACAAAGCGGAACCGAAAACAGTAATACAGCCAAGAATTTGTTACGATAAGTCCACCAGCATCTAAAAGACTGTTGTTTTAATCGGAAAAACAAAAACACTGGCACGAGGAAGATTCATAAGATCATGCTGGAGACAGTGTGGCGAAAGGCGTCGACTTGACTAAATTCGCCTTAGAATACACCTGCTGAGCATTGCAGCCACAGTTCCTGTTTTCGCATGGCACACAATGGATGAAACGCTGTCATGGCGTATTAGACCAGGTATGAAATTCCACCTTAAAGAGGGTACAAAACCAAAATATCTGTTATTTTATTCTATCCTTAATGCTGTGGCAGTTTGGTGTAGAAGCAGCGCAGATTCTAGAAAGAGGAAATGGCATTATATGGAACGGAAAACAGTTTTGTAAATGAGATCTTTACGTTAAATTCACGTATTTTAGCGCTGACCAGTTATGAAAAGCTGCGATACTTCGTGCAAGTTTCATTCATCTAAAAACACTTAAATGTAGTCGTTATAACCGATGCTGAAGGATATTCTTGGTCTCTTCGTTTATTTAAGTGCTGGATTATTGCTATACTTCAACCGGTATTACCGGGGAACGTCACCAACAGGAGGCTAGTGAATTCAATAAATGCCAGTTTATTTTGATTTGGGATTCCGTTTTTTAATTTTAGCTGCTTTTTCTCCTTTTGCCGAAGAATGAAATTTTGTGCAAGGAAGCGATGGTCTGAGCCCGTGTAGAATTTTGGAACAACAGCGGAATCCAGTGTTGAGAGTTTAAGACTTTCGACTTACCATGAATTTTTTTAATCGTTTTGATAAACTTGGGGAAGAAGATTTTACTGTAGAGTCCATTTTCCAAATATGTTAAAGCACATTGAAAGTTCTACATGTGCAGGCAATTCCTAACCGACGAATTGTTTCTACAGTGTCAGAAAATCCTATTCATTAACTTTCAAAGCATTGTGGAGTCTTCTACGGAGAGCTTCATTCAGCTTCTCAATTTCAAAAAATACGGGTGATCGCAAAGAACTGAGATAGGACGATGAAGATAAGGAATAAATGAAAGGTCCATTAATTATTCCAAACATTAGCCGCAGTTAGCGAACGATCATGTGTGTCACGTCTACTTGTATACTTCTTACCAATTGTTGCGAAGGTAAAAAAAACAATGATTAACCGAGCATACATGAAATTTACCATATTTTTTTTAGAGCAGTGTAACAAGGAATGTTCTTACAAAACACCATTAGGGCATTGTGTACAGAAGGAGGAACGCGGATAAAAGAACCATGGCAAACTGAAAAACAAGGTTTCGACAAAATGCTTTCCAAGTTGTTACAAAAAAGGGTAAAGCTCTCGGCGTTGACCAATCCTTGTGAAGTGCTCCGTGCATTCGACACATTAAGCGTCGTTTGGAGGTGATTTAATGCATATCTGGCCACTACAATGGCTTGCGGTGTTTTACCGATGTATTGAACCAGTGCTGCCCTTTTTCCAGAGAAGTCTGGTGCCAATAATCCTACACCAGAGAGATGGAAGGCTTGGTGGGCTATGGACACCGAGATCGATTTCGCGTGTATG